CTTTTTGTATTTCAGAGCAGGGTATACAGGGTGTTCAGGGTCTCACAGCATAGGTCAGACGCATAGTGATCTGCCTGTTTACAGCCTCCCAAGTGCTGGGACTGTAGGCGCGCACACCATGCCCATTCTCACTGTCTCAGTGTGTCCTGGGGACGGGGCTGGCACTAAGTGTAGTGTTCTTATCTGCCTTACTTTCTACTGTAGGCTTCGTTTTATGCAGCAGTGAAAAAGATACATGCAAGCTCCATTTTCATGTCAAATGGCATGTTCGTGTTTTTTGTGATCTGAGTGAAACTTGATTCAACCATTCGAATTTCACAGCTTCCTGAAGCTCAGGCCTGTTAGAGAATTCCAAGACTCACTGGGAGAGAGAGCAACAGTATCATGATCTCACCTGCCTTCCAGGCTCATGGTCCTATATGTGTTGGCTTTTTATTCATCATATTCATGAAAGTTAAATCCAGCCATTCCACACATCTTCACAAACATGAAACAGGCTGACGACTCACTTAGAGCAAGGACTTTTGGGGAATGGAGACTTCTCTGAAGGCTTTAGAAGGGTCATAGTTTCCACTGCCGGGCCAGAAGGTCTATATCTATATCAACACTTTGCTTTTAAAATCCTTTTTATCCACTCAGATCTTTTCTTTTCTTTTCTTTTCTCTTTCTTTCTTTCTTTCTCTTTCTTTCTTTTCTTTCTTTCTTTCTTTCTTTCTTTCTTTCTTTCTTTCTTTCTTTCTTTCTTTCTTTCTTCTTTTTCTTTTTCTCATCAGTGTGATGGGAAAATAATTCCTAGTGGGGACAATGACTTCCAACCTGCTACATGTCAGAAGTGATGAGTTTTACAACATCCAGAATGAAGTCATGATCTAAGGAGGAGGTTAGGAGAGTTTTATAGAAAATAAGAATAGTTTCTGAATTTCCAGGAGGGGTCCTGAGTGGCCACTGAGGCTCTTTGTTAAGAGTATCTTATACAGGGGATGGGGAGATGGCTCAGTAGAATAAGCACATCCCTGGCAAGCTCAAGGGCCGGAGTTCCATCCTTGGTTCCTCAAAAAAGAGAGTATTTTGTACAGCAAAATCACAATGTGGGTAGAACATAGGTCAAACTACAACCAGCCTATACGGGTGCAAGTATAGAAAAAAAGCAAGCAAGCAAGCAAGCAAGCAAGCACAAAAGCATTCCTGGAGGGGATGGGAATGTGGGCCCAGATGTTTTGCCCCCCCATCTGGTGCCTTTCTGGGCTCACTGGACCAGGAGGTGCTAACTACAATAGCCTCTCCAGTTACTGTGTATCTCTAGAGAGGCTTGCATGCCTGGCTGTGCTGAGGCCAGGCCTCTTCAGATTCACCTCCAGCCACCATTTGCTGTGTCTCATCTTTTGCACTGACTTCCTCAAGGACCAGTCCTTCTCTGATCACTACTCTTTCCTCTAAATTGGTTGCCTATAATACCAGTGTGTAGCATCTCATCTCACTGGACGCCTCCCCGCATGGCCAGACTTCCATATCCCACCTCCTGGATGTCATGGGAAGTTTCATTTACTCACCTTGATAACTGACAACAGTTCAGCTGCCTTTTGTTCCCACTACTGAATCTTAAGATGTTCAGCAGATTAAATGGACTCTCTTCTAGTTGTACAAGAATATAGTTTTAGGAGAAAGTTTTGATTATTGAGGGCAAATGGAAAACCTGTGTGCATGTTTTGACAAATCAGTTTTGAGGTGATGAATGACTAGACACAAATTCTGTAAAGGGAGCTACTGTGGCCCTAGTTCCTGGTTCAGTCTTCAACACGTAGTAGTAAGTCTTAAGTGCTTTTAGTCTTTTATTTCTTTATGTGTTTGCTACAGGGTCTGTGCAGCTCAGACTCGTAGTGATCCTCCTGTGTCAGCCTCCCTAGCAGGCATGCGCCACCATACCCAGTCTCCATGGCTGGCACAGTGCTCAGGGTGCCTGGATGGTGCTGCATGTGATACTGGGGATGGATTTTGGGTCCTTGCATTTGCCAGGCAGGCACTTAGACCGCTGAGTTATCTTCCCAGCCCAGTAACTGCTTTTATTGAATTCACATAGTCTGTAATGCATATTGGAGTAAATGACTAACGGTGTAGTTGATCAAAACCTGTGATGCCAAGGGGAGGAAAATGATGACGCTTGCCTCTATTTCTGTATTGAGTATCTGTCCTTGTTATTAAATTAACAACTACCATTGTATATTTTGACTATTTTACATATATGATTGTTTGGATAATTGTGTATGTTTTTCTGAAATTAATATTTAAAAAAATCAAAAGTGGAAAATTAAACAGCACAGAAAAGAGGGATTATAAACTAACATTGTTTTGATCTTTTTTCTAGCCTCTCTAAAAAGTGATTTTTTAAAATAGTAGTCACTTAAAATCCTCCTTATGGCCTTGGCTGTAACACTGTGTTTCTCTACGTTACAGCTGGGTAACCTCAGGGCTGGCAGTGGTTTGTTAAGGGGTAGCGCAGGTGGAGAGGAAGTGATAAAATCCTGCAGTGTTTATCAATCCATAAATCCAGGTTCTGTCTTTGAAGACTATCCCTTCTCATTCCGTATCATAAAAAATCAGTAGGAAGAATAAAAGCTTTTTGTGTCCATACAAGTTGGCTCAAGTCTTTCACAAATCCATGATCGCGGAGATCTGCTAAAGAGCACCGAGATGATCGATCCTTTCCTGAGCTTTGCATGCGCATGCGCAATACAACAAAGTCCTGCGCGCGCCTCTCGGACGCCCGGCGGCGCTCTGTTGCCATGGCGACTGCCCTCGGCGACAGCGAAGCTGGGAGACCCTGCGGGCCTGCTGGGAGTTTGAGCCGAGCGGCGCTGGCTTAGTTCCGCTGCCTTCGCATTGTAGCCCTGTTCTTTTCCAGGCTTCCCATCCGCCCTTCCCGCTCCCTCTCGTCAGCGCCATGGCGGGCAGGGCTGGAGACGTTCGCAAGCTTTTCCTCTTCACGACCACCCAGAACTACTTCGGGCTGACGGCGGACGCCTGGGACCAGCCGCTGCTCTACAACTGCGTGGAGATCAACAACTTCCTGGACGACGGGAACCAGATGCTGCTACGCGTGCAGCGGTCCGACGCCGGCCTGCACTTCGCCAACGCGGTAGGGCTCCTGCGCCGCTCCCGCCCCGCCCGCTCTGCCCCGGCCGGCGGCGGGGCGACCCGCCCGCGCAGCGACCCGCCCGCGCAGCGACCCGCCCGCGCAGCGACCCGCCCGCGCAGCGCGCCCCGAGGTCCCGCAGCCTGGAGTTGCTGCGTCCGCGCTGGGGCGTGCCGACCTGTATGTATGTATGTAAGACAGCCCAGGTTGGCCCCACATTCCTGTGTCTGAGCTGTTCTGCCTCAGTTTACCGAGTAGCTGGGACTACAGGTGTGCCACGGGCACGACTCTTCTAATTGTTAAAGACTAGGGATGTTTTATAAACGGAACAGTTTTTCTCCTCATAACTGTTCACCTTTGAAGCAAGTCCTGGGCTGTCCTTTTCGGGTTATGCACCGATTTTAGTACCATCTGAGAGAAAAATTAGTTAGGAGTTCAAGTCTTCAGAAAGTGATTTGCTATATGCCAAAGTAAAGTTGGAGCTTGTTTTTGATGTGCAAAATGTGCCTTACGGATTTGCTGAGCGTACTGAGCGTACTGCTCCCTCCCCTGGAGGATTGTTTCCAAATGTTGCACTTCCCATCCGGCCTCCTACACACTGTGTGTTAACTTCAAAGGAGGTCTTACGAAAAAATTGTGTACCTTGCTAAAAAGGACAGGCAGTAGACGAAAATGAACAAATTATAGACGTTTTCAACCCTTTTATGTTAACTTATATCTCGGGGACTAGCAGGGTCTTTGCACATTCAGTGCTTTTTGTTGTCGTTTTGTTTTTGTAGAATGATTGAATCTTCACCCTATTCATAATGAATCTCCCTGCTTAATTCAGTTTTATTCATAAATATTTATTTTGAACTCAATATAAATGCAAGACAATGCCAAAGCTGTTGGGTTTACAAAGGTATAAAAGGACAGATATAACTAGCATTTATTTTCACTTGTCCTGTGCCACAGGTTGTTCTAATAAATTTATGTGCATTAATGTGCTTAGTGTGCGGTGCTGGGAGGCAGCAACTGTACTCCCTTCTGCAGCTTGGGAGAGCAAGGCTTCCGTGTTGCAGCCAGGGTGATACCTGTCCCACTCCTCTATGCTGTAATTCAGAATAGGGCCCTGCTTCTGCCTTCTAGAACTTCACTACTGTGATTTGTTGACACATACTCAACACATTGTAAAATTAGGTCATACTGTGTAAATGCCGCTTAAAGCTCAGATGCAGTGGTACAGTGGAAATATGGGAAAAGTCAGCATGATTTAATGTTAGTCAACATTAAAAATATATATACTTATATAAATACTTTTATTTTAATTTTTTTTTTTTTTCTTTTGGTGGAACCGGAGATTGAACTCAGGCCCTTGTGCTTGCCAGGCAAGCGCTTATTCTACTGAGCTATCTCCCTGGCCCCCTTAACATTTTTTTTTTTAAAGGAATACAAAACTGTTTATTGACTGCTGATCACCATTATTTACAATAAAATAAACAACATATATTAGGATAACATTCTGATTACTACAAAGTTGTTTTCCTGGCTTCTGCTGAAAACAGTAACCCAAATACTGAAAAGATTGAGCCTACGTGTAAGGAACAAGTTGGGGGTCAAGAAAAAACATGCAGGTCAAGAGTTTAGATTCCAAGTTTGTCCACTGATTTATTCTAGGCTCTAAATTGTGAACACCTCCAGCCACTCAGTGGATTTCCATGAGCCAAGTCTTAAGATATACATGAATCCTGACTCTTGAGTGCAGATTTCAACTTGCTGTGAAGTAATGAGTCTTGAGGAATTTTTAATGTTCCCTTGTTAAGTCTTCCTTAGTGAATTCAAACCAAGTTTTGACTTGCTGCCTTGTTCAGGTGGGAAAGTTGTTGGTAGAGATAAGAATTTTTTTTTTTTTTTCTCTTTTTGAGACAGGGTCTCTATGCAGTTCAGCCTGGCCTTGCACTCACTTTGTAGCCCAGGCTGGTCTTGAACTCCCAAGATCCTCCTGCTTCAGCCTCCCAAGGGCTGAGATTGTAGGCGTGTGCCACCATGTCCAGCTAGATAAGACTTTTTTTTGGGGGCGGGGGGAGTTTTGGAAGTAAATTGCATTTTTGTGACTAAAGACAGATACAGATTCTGATATAGCTGCTTTGAAAATATTTACTTTAAACTGACCATTTAACCACAAAACCATCTATTTAATTTAAAAGGTTATTGCTTTAGGAAAACTTTCTGTTGAACTGGAAGTGATTTCTTAGGTTGCTCAGAATGATGGCATCTCAAACATGAGGTTATTACCCATAATTTTTATTTTGGTGAATGTTTAAAAACAAAACAAAACCCACTTACATAAGAATTTTATTTATACACACACAAAAAACTCCTCTGAATGCTCTTTAAGCATACGAGCTAAAACATGAGTTCTGATTTGGGTTATGGGGAATTCCCCCCAGCATTTAGTGAAGCAGAGGAAATGTATCAGGCTACCAAATGTTCTTTTTTGATAAAGGAAGCAACTACAAAAGCTTTATTTATTTGTTCAAAGTAACTAGTACTGTGGATGCAAAACAAACAAAACCCACTAACTCCCCCAAATACTGCTTTCAAAACTGACATATTAAACTTGATTTTCATATGTTTTTTCCACGCTAGTAAATCAAAGCCAAGATATATATATATATATATATATATATATATATATATATATGTTATTGAGCTTCATCTTCTGGGCAGGAATGCCAATTTAGTCTCTCTTCATAAAAAGCAATGATGATTTCAGGACATTGCATATTTACCTCTTTTGCCAGCACTAAGTCAGCCTCATTTGAATCTTCCCATTTCTTTTATTTCTGTATTTTAGGGAAAGATGTGCTGGATGTTTAGGGTCTTACTACTAGATCAGACTCCTAGTGATTCTCCTGTTTAGCCTCCCAAGTGCTGCAATTACAGCTTGCGCCACTGCGCCGTCTCCTTTCAGTGCACCCTGGGGGAGGGGCTGGCACTGTAGACCTGGGAATCTGGGGACCGAACCCCTGGCCCTGAGCCTGTTTGCAGGCGCTTTAATCTGCTGAACTATTTGGCTGGCCCAATCTTTCTCTTTCATGAGAAACATCAATTCTCCACTACTGTCTGTAGTGCCAATTATTTGTTCAGGATCAAGACCTCTAGCAAAACCTCTAGGTTTGTCAGCAGCATCTCTTTTTTTTCTTTGACTTGCTGTCATTAGATTCATTGTCAGGTAAAGATTTTCTTTTTTCTTTTTTTATATTTTAGGGAAGGTTCTACAGGGAGTTCAGGGTCTTTTTTTTTTTTTTTTTGCAGAACCGGGGATTGAACTCAGGCCCATGCGCTTACCAAGGAAGCGCTTATTCTACTGAGCCATCTCCCCAGCCCCTCAGGGTCTTAATACTAGATTGGACTTGTAGTGATCTGCCTTTATATATCCTCCCAAGAGCTGGGATTACAGGTGCCCAGTCCTATCTCAATCTCTGTCTCAGTGTGTCCCATGGGTGGGGCCGGGGCCAGCACGGCAGGCCCAAGGATCGAACCCTTAGCTCCTGTGCCTGCTTGCAGGCACTTTATTCTGCTGAGCTATTTAGCTGGCCCTAAGATTTTCTTTTTGTACTATCTTTTTCTTTACCAGCTTTTTGCTTCAATTAACCCTGGACAATCTAAATTTTCTTCAGGTTCCCTTGTATTGTCAGCAGCTATAAATCCCTTCCATTTCAGAAAATACTCCAAATTCCCATTCACTACACAGTGGTCCACTAATTTTTGTACCACAAACTCTTCAGGTTCTTGAAGAGCTATTATTCACTGCCTGAGATGCTCGGTCACAGCTCCATAGTCTTGGCCTGCATGCCTGCAGCTCCACTCGCCATACTATTATTTTTTTTAAACTGGGAATTGAGTAAGTGTTTGCACTTGGCAGGCAGGCACTTGTGCTACAGAGGTATATCCCTGGCCCAGTCAGCATATGTTTATTAGGTACGTACTATGGGTATGAAACTGTCCTAAGTCCTCGGGATAAAGTCACGAACACACTAGAGCCTGGATCTTCAAGGAGAAACCCTGGGATGTACAAAGAAAAGTTAAACACAAAAATGTAACATAACATAATTTTTAGTTTTGATAAGTGATGTTAAGAAGAAATTATAGCAGGAATGGGGTGTGGCAGGGAACCCCCGTTACAATAGGATAGAAGGGACACCACTCCGCAGTGGTGTCCTTTGAGTGATATTTGAATGATGAGTCGTAGACTGAGCTGTGATCTGGGTGGGAAGTGTCAGAAGGAAAAGAAACTGTAAACACCTGATCCCTAAGCTGGCCTTGGTTACAGGTCAGGAAAAAATCCAGGGTGATGCTGAAGTTCAGCATATGAAGGGCCGTGTGTAGGGTTAGGTGGGAGAGTAAGGCATGTGCTAGCCTCACAGGACTTGGATGCTATTTAGATTGAAATAGGAAGCCAGTAGTAATCTTAATTGAAACAAAGATGTGCTCTGTTATGTACTTTAGGACTAGGCTTAGCCAGCATTCCACAGTGGGCAAGGTACTACTTTAGGGGTTGCAGGCCAGAGGGTTTTGTGGCAACTACACCTGTGTCACTATAGTGTAAAAGCAGATTATATAATATCCTGTGTAATACTCCATGTAAAGGAAAGTATGGCTGTACTCTAATAACACTATGGGTGTTGATTGATATTTGAATTTCGTGTAATTTTCATGTGTCATAAGAAATGTCATCAACAGAGAGTAGGTCCGTCTCAGTGGCTAAAATTGGTATAATTAGGTAGGAAAGTAGATGGCTCTTGAGACCATAATATTAGATGAAACAAGCCAGTCACAGAAGGTTAAATATAACGTGGTTTCTCTAATATGAAAGAACCAAGTATAATTTCTTTATTTTTAATTTTATTTTTTAAAGATAGTACAAGGTAGTATGAAAACAGAAAAATTATAAGTGATACAGAATTTCACTTCACAAAATAACATGCATTTCACAGTATTTGTTGTAATGCATGTGTTGTCTTCCAGCTAGTTGTTCATATTACCAGATATATGCATGTAGAATTGGAAGAAAGAAAAAAAGAAATATATAAGAAATTAAGAAGAGAAAAAGGTCGAAGAATTGAAAAAAAGAAGACAAAACAAATTAAGCATTAACTGCTCCTTTCCATAATGCAGCATAAGTCCACAGTACAGTTTTCCAAACCCTCCTGCTTACATACATAGATATATCTCTTTCCCTCACTACCTCTCCTGTCCTTTTCCTCAACTCATTAATTCCTTCCTTTTGAATAGGTTTATTCCCTTTT